ATTATCATTTTAACCATTTGTTTGTTTTTGTCCTTTCCTGTTTTGGGGTAGCTGGGAGTGTCCAAGGAATATCATACATGTCCCACCCGTGGGGGGGGGGGGCCGGGGGGGTGGTTTGCTAACTTGTGCTTTTCCCCTCGGCCTGCCTCATGCTCCCTCATCAATCATATCCTCTTTTTAATTTTTTTTATTTTTAATTTTATTTTTATTTTTATTTTTTTTAATTTACATCCAAGTTACTTAGCATATACTCCAAGGAGTAGATTCCTTAATGCCCCTTACCCATTTAGCCCATTCCTCCCTCTCACAATCCCTCCAGTAACCCTCGTTTGTCCTCCATATTTATGAGTCTCTTCTGTTTTGTCCCCCTCCCTGTTTTTATATTATTTTTGTTTCCCTCCTCTTTTTAAATTTTTAATCATGGTTTCCATAATTCTTTGAACATATTCGAATGTCTATTTTGAAATCTTCGCTAAATTAGACATCTAGCTCTTCTCATAGGTAATTCTGTTGCCAGTTTTGTTTTGTTTATCATTGGAAACTGGACATTTTAGATTATATATTATAGCAAATCTGAGTATTTGGTCCTCCTCCTTCAGGTCTTGTTATTGTTATTTATTCGTTTACTTGTTTACTGACTGGGTGGAATTTTTCAGTCTACTCCCCAAGTAAAGTGTTGCTCCTGAAGGGGTACAGCCTTGGATCTGCCCTTGGGATGCCCCAGGATGTCACTGGGTTTGTCAGAGCTCTCTTTGACTATCTTTTCCCTGATCACACTCTTAAGTTCCACTAATTGCTGTCTGATTACTCTACTGTTTTCAACAGTGCCCTGGGGATAAATTGCTTCACAAACTAACACAATGAAGTTCAGGCTCTTTTGAAGGGACAGTTCCTAGGTCAGTGTTTGAGATTTGTTCTGACACCCAGCAGGGCTCTTCCCAGCTGTCTCTTTCCTTATTTCTCTCCAGAAAACTAGACAGCCCACAATTTAGACTACATCTCCAAAGAATCTATCCATCTCGTTTCACCACAATTTCTATCATTTCAAGAGTGTCCTTAACCTTAAACCTCTCCACACTCTGTTATAAAATAAAGTCAATTTATTGGAGATAAAATTTGGAGATATCTCTTTCATGGTTTATTTCTTCTACCTCCGCATGTATCCCCTAAGAAAATTCTCTGAGCCATAGCTGGGATGGAGAGGATAATGACATGCTTATCTCTAAATAAGATCTCCATTTCAGGAGTTTAGCATCCAGCAGAGGTGTGGGAGTAGCAGCCCCCCGTCTTTTCAGCTTGCCTCTTTGAGTATGGATCCTCACACCACATGAACTAGGACAAGACTATCAGGGCCTCCGAGTCCTTGATGGTGCCACATTCATGATAGAGCCTCCAGCCCATGCGTGGAAGCTGGATAGAAAGGGATTTATTTAGCCACACTTACCCAGAACTTAGCCTCACCAACAGGTAACTGGAGCAGGATAAGGAATGCTGATGTCCTGCCCTGACCAGGAAGATAGCCCTCCAACTGGGAGATAGAAGGGAAAGTCTATTCTTCCCATAATGTGAACCTTCTGTTGCTGCCCTTTGTTCTTAGCTATAGCAGTCTGGGTAGAGTTTCTGTCTTTCTGAGCTAAGAGGCAAGGGAGGGCATGGGTCTTGGTTCAAAGACCACATACTCTCCCCAATTGTAATAGATTTTCTTGAATAAATATTTCTTCATTTGCTGTATGTCCACACTGTCATTTTCAAAGACTAATTTTTAAAAATTTTTCATCTTATTTTACTGGGGAGAAGATCTGAGAAGTTCCTCATACTGCCATGCCAGAAGTAGAACTCCCACCCCCTCTTAATTTTATCTTTGCTCTAGTGGTGAGTCAGTTGTTTTTGTTTGTTTGTTTGTTTGTTTGTTTGTTTGTTTTTAATTAGAGCATTATTGGGGCTTTGATGTCAAAGTCTTTTCCAGCCTTTTTGCCTGCTGTTTGGAGTACAGAAGCAGCCTTTCCATTCCTAGGAGGTCATTTATACTTACAAATCTTTCTTTCCTGATCTCATCTCATCCTTATAATACCATGTTAAATGCAGCAAAGAGCAACACACAAATATTCTTACTCTTTCTAACAACTTTTCCTAAACTAGCTGGCTCAGTATATTTGCCTTATCAGTTGTTGCAGGCAATCATTTTACCAAATTTTTAGCCACTGTGTAACATAGATCTCCAATATCTTTCTACTCCCCAATATTTGTTCCATTACTTTCTGAAGACCAACTATTATAAACCAAAGACCCATATTTTAAGTTTTCGATATGGCAGCAATATACTTCAAAATACTAGTTTCTATTTTAATTACGTAAGGCAGATCATTAAAACAAATAAGCCCTATTAAAGTGAATTTCTTGTTCATATAATCATCCTGGCTTGGAATGGCCTTACTCAAACTAAATATAGAAATAAAAAAAAGAAAGAAACTACTTTTTTATGAGGAATCTACAGCATATCTTTCAGACAACACACAACCTAAAATATATTTTTATCTTACTCAAAAGTGGGAAACCTCTCTAGTATAGACTTAAGAGCTTTTCATGAGCATTTACACGCACAAAGGAAATTTGCAAGCATGTTGAGAGGAGTGTTTACAAAACATTGAAAGAAAGTTTTATTTCCTGAGGTCCTTCTATTTTACACATTGTGGGAGATAAGATTTGGAGGGAGAGATACTGGTTCCCCGTTCTCATATTTTCACAGAGGGATGGAATTTCCACTCCAATCTAGAAGGGAAAAGTAATAGGGGAAGAGGCATTTTAAGCTTCTCTCTGCTCCTCACTCAATCCCATGGTGTTTTGAGCTGAATCGTGCACACAGACACCCCAGTCAGAAATTGACATCCTAACCACTCAGTGCCTCAGAATGTGACTGTATTTAGAGACAGGGTTTTTACAAAGATAATTAAGGTAACATGAATTACATGAATTCATATGGGGGCACTAGTCCAATATGACTTTGTTTTTACAAGAGGAAATTAGGACACAGACAATATGGAGACAGAGAGACAACCATAAAAGGACACAGTGAGAAGGTGGCCATCTTCAAGCCAAGGAGACAGACCTCTAGAGAAACAACCTTGCCAACTTCTTGATCTCAGATTTCTGTACCCTAGAACTGTGAAAAAATAAATTTCTGTTGTTTAAACCAGTCTGTGGTATGTTGTTATGGCAGCCCCGGTAAAGTAACAAATATGGTGAGAAGGATAACATGTAATTGGTAAGTTTTGGAGAAGTAACAGGGCACACTTACTACCTTCTGACAGTGAATAGTAGCCAGTGAGCAAGGCACTTATTCATTTATCCAGAAGATAGCTATTAAGTACATACTACAGACTGGGTGCTGTGATAGATGCTGCTAATTAAGTAGTCAAACATTCAGATTTGACCCTTGCCTGCAAGAAACTTACAAGCTAATAGAGAGAGGGGGAAATGAAGAAACTGTGTATACAAGAGACCCAGAATATGGAGAAAAGCTGAGTAGCCCCGTTTCTTCCTAGGGAAATCAAAGGAGCTGACATCCATATCGATCTACATTGGGTAGCAGGAGCTGGGGGAAAATGGAGACTATGGGTCAAAGTAGCCAGCCAAAGAATTTTCTGATCTGTTGACCAGATTATTTTGATCCTATGGTTTTGAGGGAAGCCTACCCTTGGATGGTATTAACAGATGGAACAGGGCCTTGGATATGGGTCACAGAGACAATTACTGGCTAAGGGTTTCTCTTGTTTTCTATAAATCAATTTTTTAATTTTTTTGTGTTTATATTTTTGAGAGAGACAGAAACAGAGTGTGAGCAGGGGAGGGGCAGAGAGAGAGGGAGACACAGAATCTGAAGCAGGCTCCAGGCTCTGGGCTGTCAGCACAGAGCCTGATGTGGGGCTTGAAACCACAAACTGTTAGATCGTGACCTGAGCCAAAGGTGGACGCATAACCGACTGAGTTACCCAGGTGTCCCTTGTTTTCTAATGACTGGCTTATGGCTATCACCAAAACCTTACTGATAAACTAAAGTACACAAATATATAAAGCAAACTCTAAATAATTCATGGTCAAACAAAACAAATTTCAATCATTGCATATAGTTCATTACAGAGTATGGAAAATAATAATGAGGAGGAAAGCACAGGCTTTGGAACTGGAGGCAATGTCAAACAAAATATATTCATGAGGACTGGGGAAGTGTCAACTACTAAGAAGAGGATAGTGAGGGAAAAAAACAAAACAGATGTGGTCCCTGTTACTTATGAACTTGGGAAAGTTATTTAATCTCTTTGAACCAATATTCTTATATGATGAATCAGGGTCATGTTAGCTATTTTGGAAAGCTCTTGTAAAAAATAAATGAAAATATAAAGGCATTTAAAATCATTTAGCACAGAGCCTGGCAAATCGCTACGTGTTGAATGTTATTTTTTTCTCAATTCTCTCCACCTTTGCTCTCTACAAAAAGTACCAACTTAAAGAGTCCCTTTGGGTATTCTTCAGTGAGTTACCAAATATCATAATCTTCATAGCCAAAATCTAAGGCTTAGAGAAAGATGACAAAAAGAGGCTAGATTTGTTTGTTTGACCGAACCCTTGAACCACCATGGATAAAACTTTTAGAATCTTTAGTGTATTCTTCTAAAAGGTGTGTGTGTGTGTGTGTGTGTGTGTGTGTGTGTGTGTGTATTATTTCTTCTCTATTTTGCCAGTTGCCTCATCCTTATCTCTATAGTACTAAACTCAGAGCAAAGAGCAAAAGAGAATCTCACAAAGAATAATCTGCAGGCATTGAAATCAAAATAATCCATCCTCTTAAAGCATTAAGAATGATCTTATAGGGGTGCCTGGGTGGCGCAGTCGGTTAAGCGTCCGACTTCAGCCAGGTCACGATCTCACGGTCCGTGAGTTCGAGCCCCGCGTCGGGCTCTGGGCTGATGGCTCAGAGCCTGGAGCCTGTTTCTGATTCTGTGTCTCCCTCTCTCTCTGCCCCCTCCCCCGTTCATGCTCTGTCTCTCTCTGTCCCAAAAAAATAAATAAACGTTAAAAAAAAAAAAAAAGAATGATCTTATATTTTTCCATGCAGAATACTAACATATATATTCCGTAATATAGAACTATCTCCCCTTTCTCCAGAAAAAGATGAAAGCAATACAAGATAGAGTATGAATCAATCTCTGTAATCTTTAAAACCATGCTGAAAATAGCACAGAACATATAGTTCAGATAACATATCAATATGGGTGTGTTATCTGTACTGTATTGAGTCAGATGCTCCACGTACCCAAGCAACTGCCAATTTGGTTAAGGACTGTAAGAAGAACGACTCCTTCCTTTTCATACCTTCAGGTAATAGCCTCAAGTACTCACAGAATCTACTTTACTTGCTCATAATCTCCAAAGATTTCATTTGGTGCGCTATGACCCCAAATTACGCTCACATCCTATAGTCTAATCTCTAAAACTACGAAGTCAAGAAATTGCAGACTGTAAACGGAACATATCCCTTTCTCTTATTTTTGTCACCCTTCCGATTAATCCATACCCCATGAATCAGAAGAATTTTGATTTGGGATAAAATGCTAACTCTTCCAGTGGACTTCCTGCTTTTATTTTAATCCCAAATTCTTCCCCAACATCTTTGCTAAATTTTCACTTGAAACAAAATTGGGCTAGATTTAGATTTAATCTACTATCCATCATATTGATCACTTATTTTCTTCTATGCAAGGTACCATGTTAAGCTCTTTAGGGATTGACAAGATATAAAGCAGCAGAGTAATTGTTACACTGGGATATAAAACCATACAATACCAAGTAATATCCTCTATACTTTCACTCTTGTACATAAATGTGTACTCCTTTCATGACCAAGTAAACAATGCTAAAAAAACCTTTTGTCTTTAACTCATTTGGCTGCATGTAAAATCTCTATAGCTGTGGTGTGTAATGAAACCACCCTCTGTTTAGAGATCCCTACAAAATCTGCACTCAGCGAGTTCATTTAAGACAGAACATTCCCACAATTTGAACACAGTGTTAGCAGTATAATAAGCAGAGAACAATCTTCTGGGTAATACCAAAGTTTACTTAAACAGATTGATAACATGCTCACCAAAAAATAACAGGCACAGTTTTTACGGTTTGTTCCCTTCTGTATGACTTACCCACCAAGCAATAAGTACAATTACTGAATTTCATTGTAAATGCCCAGACCCCCTGATGCGTTCTGATAGGAAATCATCCAATAATAGCAATGTCATTTCTCTCCGTAACTCACAGTTTTTGTGGCTGTCAGAAAATATATACACTTCATTAAAATCAAGAAATAAAGAGGGTACATGTAGAGAAAACAAAGTTTAAAAAAAAACCACGCAGTTATTTTCTCTACCCTTAATATTTTCCTCTTCCCCACAGATCTCTTTACAAACCCTTCCCTTGATGCTCATTGATAAACTTGGCCAATCAAAAGGTGTCAGCAAGAAGTAACTGGTCCCACAAAACCCAACATGATTTCCGTAGCCACAGCCATGACCTTTCACTTTTCCTTTTTGGTTACAAAGCTGCCTTAGTGGTCATTCAAATCCTGAAAGTGTTAAGTGGGAGTAGTCATAAATCAGCATTTTAAAGTCTGCTGCCAGCGTGAACTCTCTATATTTAAAAGGGGAGGGGGAGATTTAAGGTCACACTCAGTAGGACTTCACAGTTGTTAAAAGTCAGCTTTCTGGTGATCTGGTTAACTATGAGATATGAAGACCTTTTTAAAAAATCTAGTTGTATATATTATGAAAATCATATACAGATATAAACATACACCTATGAAATATTGGAAATAACAAACATAAAGTGAAATACTTACAGGGTGAAATATACCAAAATTAAAAAAAAAAAAACCACATACATTTCAAGGACTTTTAAGTACAGGATTTTATTTGAAAATACTTACGTGGCTTTTTTCTATATATAAAATTAGGTATCAATGCTTTTGTTTCTCTATTATTAAAATTAGAAATAATAACAAAAAGCAGACGGTTATATCAAATTCACTGGTGACTTGAACAATCAGGTGAAACTGATTCATGCATTTCTTTGATGAATGCAAAATGTATAAGGACATGTGCTCTGTAAAGATTCAATGTTTGTAGTGCAAATCTTGAAATAAATTAATTTGAGCTAAAATATTCCTACCTCGTCATGCAAATAGGTTTGGACATAATATCTTTTTCAGTAAATTTGGCCAAATGAATAGTTAGGAATTGGGCACATCCAAAACAATCGGTTATTTAAATGAAGTCTGCTTTTTTGGAGGACACACTTTCTAACATGTCTTAGCCAGTAGAAATAAGGAGCCAGATTATAGTGTCTATCACATCTCCAGACACACACATAGTTAGTTGAATATGGCAAAAATTCTCTAAAACAGGGCTGGTCAGACTTTTAGTAGAAAAGGCAGCCGTCTACATGACATGCGTTGGGAAATACTAAAGAGCATCTCTGCCAAAAATATCTGTTCCATTCCCTATGTTCTTATTACCATTTCTCCTGTAGCATTTAGAATTCTAATCACAAGTCATTATTTTTGCGCATCATTAAAAATCTTTACCAGAAAGCCAGGATATTATCTAAGAAGCCATTAATAAGTCATTAACACCTTACCTTGAATTAAATCAATCAGACCATACAGATAGTTTACTTAAAGGCCCTGAGGGAGTATATATAATACCAAACAGGTAATCTTGAAGAGAGCAGGGATTTAAAAAAGCACAAATGTTAGGCCATTTTGCAAGAAGAGCCCCTAAAACACGGGGTGGTTTGTCAGGAGAGGCAGAATTACAGAGGGTCGTAAATGCGAAGGTTAGAGAAGATGTGGTAGGGAGAAAGCCTACAGCATCACTTCCCTCCCAACCAACCGATTAAAGCCTGAGTATGATTGTCAGCTGTTAAAAGACAGTAACAGATGTGATTTATGCTCCCGGCCTAAATAATACAGGCTTCGGTGGCAGCTCCCAATGCTGCAGTCCTGGGACAATTTTGAGTGAGGTCTAGATTTCCCAGCACTAGCAGGTACCTGATCTTAGTCCGAACCAAAGCGTAGGGAGTCTGCAAACATATGTTAACATTTTAGAGGGAGACATAAAGTGAAATGGAAGACTTGGGTGCGATGCCATCAGCCACATTATTCATAGAAATCATACAGCCAATTACTGAATTATTAAAGTTGCATCCAGATAGTTCTGAGGCAAGTAATTAACGTCAGCTACCGGGAGGGGTGAAGCGAGGGAGGACATACAACATAGCGGATGATTGATTGGAGTGCCAGCTCCAGGCAGATGGGCCTGACAGTCCGGGCAGGTAACCTTGTGCCCACGCAGAGCCACACCCTTGCTCACAGCCCAGCGTTCAGCATCCCAAAGGCCTTCAGACTGTTGGCCTAGAATCACATACATCGCTCTTGTATTCAATAAAGGAGACTTCAAAATAACAGTATTTCGTTGAAAATTACACTAGTGGAAATTCTCTGAAGTAAATTAACGATAAAAGAATAAAGCTGTTAGACGAATGTATTTTTCATGCTGCGGGGCTATGTGTTTAACAGTTTTCTAACTGTTCATTCATTTATAAAAAATACTTCAGTTATTATCTCCTAGAGTTGAAATTAGATATTTCATTGACTGGAGGGAATGAAAGTCGCTCACTTTTACATACGACAACTATTTTAAAATATTTCTATAAAATGCTTCCAAAGACCACCATCAGCCCAAATTCTTGGCAAACATTCTTGAGTGTATATATAGCTGTTTTATAAATGCCATGCTGTATGAGCTAACTCCTTCAGAAACATGTTTATCTTAATTAGGAAAGTCAACAGACTTCTAATGGGAAGAAATGGGTATTTTTCTCTGTGGTATCCACGGCATCAAAGGCCCAGTGCTTCTGCCAAACCAATCTTCCTTCCTGCCTGCCTTTCAAACCCAGGTGATTGCAGACAGCTGAGCAGACATTTTCCCCAAAGTCTCTATTGACCTGGATCCAGTGTTTGCTCTTTGTGCGCCCTCTCTCTTTCTCTCTCTCTCTCCCTCTCTTCCTCTCTCTGTCTGTCCCTCTGTCGCTCTTTCTGTGTGGATTTTTAGTGGTTGTTTTGCTTTGTTTTGTTTTGTTTTGTTTTGTTTGTGTTTTTGCCTCAGGAAACCTAGGGATATTCATGGCACTGAGGCAAATAATATGGAATTAAAAACTAAATTCTTGAGGCCTTATCCTAGCAACAAGACCATCACCATCTGTTCAGAAGACAAGCCAGCCATTATCCACTGCGTTCTTTATACAAACTCCATCACCTGTGAGTGGAAGAAAAAAAAAACCCAAAAACAAAAAAGCACTATCCCTTCCTGGATTCCCTCTTTGTGACAAAGTGGGGTGTTTCCCTCTGATGCAGTAAAACCTAAATCAAACAAATGTGAGTGGACGCTCTTATAGCAAACTGAAAGCTCCATATCCAAAGGCCCTAAGTGGCCATTTCAAAATATCTGATAATTGTCATCTGTATGTAATAAAACCTGACAAAAATATATTGTTGATGTATTTCGGTAGCTTTTTTTTTTTTTTTTTTTTTTTTTTTACTTAAATTAAAAAAGAACAAACGGGATGTATCTGTATTTTTAGTGGTGAAATGCCTTTTTATTTCATTTACTTTTAGCTTCAAATTCTTATCCATTTTACCTTTCAAAAACCACATCAAAATTTATATTTTGAAAGTGGCATTAAAATGTTATTTCAGTGACTTTGGGATAAGAGTCAATGTATTTAGACAGCTACTTTAATTCAGGATAAAAAATTTTTCCTTGGGAAAATGTTTAAAACAGGGAAGACAGTAGCATCCTTATATTTTATGCAGTAAAATTTATACTATTAGGAAGAAACAGGATCTGTTTCCTCTCCTAAAATAGTTCAGTGCAAAGGCAGAGAATATCTGTAGATAGAGGATTTGAGAACCCTAGCCAGAGTCTGAAGTCCAGATAAGG